CGTCTTTCAATTTTCAGTCAAATTGCAAGACGTCCCTTGTACCAAAAGATCGTTTTTGTCCGAACTAGCTCGAATTTATGATCCTTGTGGTTACCTAACACCTATTACGTTTTTCATTAAACATTTAATCCAACAACTTTGGGCAACCGGTCTTAAATGGGATGATCGCCCTCCTTCGGAAATAATTCGTGTATGGGAACAATATAAGAGCGAATTATCTCTTATTTCACAATTCAAAATTCCTCGTTTTTTGAATATTTCTTCATGTCCCATCTTAGAGCTTCATGGATTTGCCGATGCTAGTGAAAGGGATATGCTTGTGTCGTTTACATTCGTAGTATTGATACTCGTAACCTAGTTCGTTATTATCATGAGAAGTATTTACATGCTGGATTTAAGAGTACTCAATTTTTGATTAGTCAAAGGTTTTGGATACTGTCTTCTAAACAAGCCATTAATTCAGTATTGTCCAAATGTATTAGATGTTGGAAACAATCTCCCAAAAACTTACAACCACCCTATGGGTAATTTGCCTAAATTTCGTCTCGGTGCCATTAAACCCTTTTCGATTTGTGGGTTAGATTATGGTGGACCGTTTTCGATAACCATGTCTCGTTACAGGGGAGTTAGAACTCAAAAGGCCTATTTGTGTTTATTTGTATGTTGCGCTACAAAGGCTTTACATCTGGAATTAGCTAGTGATTTGACCGCGGAAGCCTTTTTGGCCGCTTTACAACGTTTTGTCGCTCGGAGAGGTCGAGTATCGCAGGTATTTTGTGATAATGGCACTAATTTCCACAGTGCTTATCGACAGCTTAGTAGCTTTATGGAGAGCGCTCTCGATAAGGAAAATATTAAGTTTTCATTTGCTCCTCCTGCTGCTCCACATTTTGGCGGTATTTATGAACGCGGAATTCGTTCTGTAAAGGAACATATTGGTCGTATAGTCGGGGCACAAATTTTGACTTACGAAGAATTTTATACCGTTTTGACGTTAATTGAATCCGTCTTAAATTCACGCCCTCTCACCCCATTAACCAATGATGTTGAAGATCTCAATGCTTTGACCCCAGGACATTTCCTGACTCTTGAACCCTTGACATCTTTGTCTGTGCCTGATTTTTCGGAGGTATCCTTCAATCGTTTGTCCAGATGGCAGTTGTTACAGCGCATCCATAGAGACTTTTGGGCTCGATGGCGAAAGGAATATTTGCACACCTTGCAACAAAAGTGTAAATGGTTAGATCCTAGTTTTGTACCTAAAATCGGCACCTTAGTTGTTTTAAAGGAGGATAATTTGGCTCCGTGTAAGTGGCCTCTCGCGCGTCTTGTTGAATTACATGAGGGTAAAGACGGTGTAGCTCGAGTGGCTACCGTGCGTACGATTACCGGAACCTTAAAACGGCCTCTTGTCCGAATCTGTCCCGTGCCGATAGATGAAGATTAAATGGTCAGCATTTTTTTTTTACTGATTTTGTTTTGTTCGGCTTTTATGAATAGAACCACGACAAAACCACCATTTTAATTTTAATTTTTTTATTTTTTAGTTTAAGTTTTGAATATTTGTTTAATATTTGTATAGGAATTGTTTGTAGTAATTATCGTTTTGATTGTTTAAGTAATGATAGTATTTAGAATTCGTTTTGTTTTTTAAAGACCTTATGGCCTTTAAAGGGGGGAGAATGTTTAAATTCAAATATGGTTGTATAAATTAATCAAGACATTTTGTCCTCCCCCTGTATACCTTCGATCCCTATTCGTACCGTTCGGGTATGCTATGCATCCCGTAGGACACAAGCGCTTAAGTCGTTGAGCAGAATAGACGCAAGACACAACCCTCGCGAGTGCATCGATGCATCCCCATTGAAATCGGTTGGTTTTATAGTAGTGAATTATGGTACCTAATTAGCGGTTCGGTAAGTTCACCTAGTTTAATACCTTTGTTTGTTTTTGATTGTTTTTGCAACCATTTAAATTTTATATTATTTGTTATTTGCACCTATGAGTGAAAGTTCATTTATCTTGCCAGAGCTATCGAAGGAATAGCTGGTATTAATCTTAGTACTATTAATTCGTAATAGTACATTATTTTGTTAAACCCCCACAAATATTTTAAGCTGCTTTTTCGTACAGTACATTTATCGATTGTTTATCAATGCACTGTTGATGCTCGAACTGTAAGTTTGTAATTTGTAAAACCGGTGCAGTGGACCGTGTCCGCCTAGAGAAGTAATACAAGAAAGAAAGAAGTTTCGACGGGCGATGAGTATGATGATGAAGAGAAATGGGGAGAAGATCAAGTAGAAGAAAACTTGGAGGGAAGCGATACGGAACAGGAAAATGAAAAATAGATGATAAGACAGATTTTGCCATTGGCCCATATTTTTTAGGCAAAGATAATAAAACAAAATGGGCTAAGCATATTTTCCCTAAGAACGTCAGAACTTAAAGTATATATATTGTTGTGCAGCTTCCGGCATGGCCTATTTTGGACACGTAGTAAGGGGAGACCGATATAATATTCTTCAACTTATTATGATGGGTAAAATCGAAGGACGCAGAGGAATTGGTAGAAAGCAGGCCTCTTGGTTGAAGAATATCAGAGAGTGGACAGGAATAAAGAAATCTGAGCAACTCTTTAGAATAGCTCGAGACAGAGACAGTTTCGCCATGTTAATCGCCAACGTCAAGGGGACTGGATAGGGCACGTTAAGAAGAAGAAGAAGCAGCTTCCGTGTTTAAAACAATGTGACAGACAGAAAAACCGATATTTTAGATATCTGAAACAATCTATTTGATACTGGTATATTGCAAATAATTGTTGATGGGACCAATACAAAAATAGAAGCAGAAAAAATTTATAACTAAATGTAATTTAAAGTGTTTTTACCCTAGTATTTTGGTGGCTCAGGCATTGTGACCTAGTAAGTATAACCACCTTTTGCTTTTCAACCATAGTCAAAATTTCATAATCACGTTTGTTTTAACTAAATGGTTTATACTTATTTTAGGCATTTTTTCGATTTTAAAACCTGATGATAGACTGTGTGGTCCTAAAACGTTTGTTTTATTGATGTAGCCCTTTTAAGGGTTTTTTAAATGAATATACCCATTTACGAAGACTAACCTCTTTTTTGTGATACGTGGTATACAGCCAGCTACAGGAATTTTTTCCTTGTGGATTTTAAAGGAATAAATGTTAATGGAAGAAAAATGAGTCATTTAAGATACGCTGATGACATTGTAATATTCGCTACAAGTTTTGAAGAACTACAGACCATGATGACGTAACTATTTCAAACGTGGAAAAAGTAAGTCTTAAGTTGAACTTGGAAAAAACAAAAATAATGACAAATACACCGAACATAAGAACAATAAAGTTGAACGACATAAATTTAGAAACAGTAAGCGAATACATCTACCTGGGACAGTAATGAAAGTTAAAATCAAACTGCCGAAAATTACCAGAAAAATAAGATTAGCGTGGGCAGGATTTGGGGAAACTGAGTTGGATCTTAAAAAGCATTAAAATAGAACAATATTTGAAAACCAGAATTTAAGATCAGTGTATTTTTCCTATACTCACAGACGTGGACACTCGCCAAGTCTAACATGGATAAAATAGTAAAAGCACAAAGAGCCATGGAAAGATCAATGCTCGGGGTGAGACTTATAGACAAAAAACAAACAAATGGATTAGAAGCAAAACGAAAGTAAAAGACGCAGGAGAACATGCTGCCAAATTAAAATGGAGCTTCGCAGGACGCAATGCCAGACTGAAGGATAAATGATGGAACCACGAAATACAACAATGGAGACCATGGTTAGGAAAGAGAAGCAGAGGTAACCACAAATGAGATGGGCGGATGGTATTAAGAAAATTAAAAAATCAGACAGGATTTACACCTTAGAAGAGTACGTAGAGCTTATCATAACATCTAACAAGAGTTTAAACCGATTTACTGTAGTTTTGCCGAATTCTGATAACATATTGAACTTTAAAGGATGATGGCTCACGTATTGTAAAAAGACGATGCTCTCCAATGAATCTTTGGGCAGAAATATTCCAAGAGATCAAAAAATTGCTTTTAAAATATCCAATTTTCGACACTTTATTCCTTCGAGTGATCACGATGGAATTGTTATTACAAAAGAGTACATAGATGGCTTGACAGATCATTCTTTTCGGCATTCGGCTACGAAATAGCAACAAGGATGTTATTAGTTTCCCTACAAGAAAAGCAGACACCGAAGGACATAGATGCAAGACTTGAGAAAACTGGAAAAGCATCTACCAGATAATGAAGAAGTCAAGGACCTTTACGGAGGAATTTTTAATTTGCCAACATGCGAGGGAAATTCAAATGAAATAATACAACCAGATGAGTGATTACTACTGATATATTATTCATGCCCATATTTTTGAATAAAACATGTTATTAACAGTTATTTTTACATCCTTGAAAAATGTGTATATTTCAAAAACCCCAAAAATCCACTAAAGTAAAAAAGAAAAAATATATTTAAAGCTAAAATGCACCACTTTTTTATGCAAACTGATTAAAACACATTAATCACAAAAGCACAACAGGTTTTTTAAAATATTTCATGAAATAAGTTTTTTTCTAATTTTTCAACATTTTATAAAAATGGAATTATGGAGTTTCTGAAATATGTAATTCATTTTGTATGGCAATCGATGGTATGAATGTAAAACATAAATTTAACGAGGAAAACTTCACTAAACTTACTGTATTTCTTAAGAAGCGAATTAAAAAGGCAAGACATTCATAATTGAAGAGGTTGTGCTGGGAATTCCCAAGTTTACAGTTCGTTGAATTGTAAAGTGAGAAAATAGGTAATTGATATAAAACAGTAAATTCAAGGTATTGGGTAATATTGTGAAAATTTAAATGAATAAACATGTGAATAAAAAACGTGTATATATATCATAATAATATATGAAAATATATTATAAATGAAAAAATATATGTACTTACAAAAAGAAGAGCAAAGATATCGGATTGGTATTTTCCGCAGGGTTGCGGGGTTTAGTGGTCTTGTTCCCCGTGTCCATTTTGATTTAAACACGGTATATCACAGTAAAATTTGTAAGTACACTTCGTAGGTGTTTCGAGAGTCCGCGAACTGCAGAGCGGACAATCGCACACATCTGTCCCAATTTTACCACCGACTGCCGTAGACTGATCGAATCGGAATACGGTCTGGGCGAATGCGATGTTGCCGAGCTGGCGGCGCTAGATCTTTGGCGACTTCGCGGAAATCTCGAGCGGCACCAATAGCATCTGGAATGGAATAGGTTTTTATTGTTTTAAGAGATAATATTTGCCTTGGTGGAATAAGGCTGTTGCTAGATATTGCATATATTGTGAAATGTTACGCTAATACTGAAAAACAAATAAAAAAAAGCTGTATCAACAATACCGGTGCATTCATAACTCGAAAGTTATCATAAACAAACGCCTTATAATCTAGTAGGATTACGGTAGACGCCGTATTGTCTTGTTTATTTATTTTTTAAGCAGGATTTTCTTCGCTTTTCTCATTTTTTGGTAGTTTCGAATGTGCCAATCTTCGCTAGTATACTATAATTTTATTCCACACTTTTGTATCTATGCATTTTGTTCTTCAATCCCCTATTACTACTAACGTACAATATGTTCATCCTCCACGACTCTATCTATGCCCTCGTCGGTCTTCCTTCGCCTATTCGTCCCATCAGAATCCAGTTTGTAATTATTGTAAATATTTCAGTTAGTGCTCTTCTCATTATTTATCCCATTTATTGTAATCGTTTGGTTTATAGGTATTTTTCTGTTTTTTGCAATTCAATGTAGGTATTTTATACAGATTGAACCAAATTAAAACGGAACATACAATTTAATACATGTCTGTTTGAACTGCATTTGAAATAGTGGACCAATATAAAACTTGGACAAAAATAAATCCATACCTGGGTATAGACATTGTATAAAATATCGTTCAACTATCTGTCTCGTAACAATGTTGTTGCGTAAGACGGGTTTGTCTAAGGAAACGATAATAGTTCAGGAAATGAAGCTCAAAAAAAGTTAAAACTTGCATGTATCCAGTTGAAATTTTAACAGAAGGTAGGTGATAGCCCAAGGATCAAAATCTATGTCGAACCGAAGTGCGCTGAGAGGTTTTAGGGGTGAAAACTACCCCTAATTGTCAAAAATTATAAAATAACATATTAAACCTGAATATGGGCAAGATTTGGTTTGAATTAGTTAAATAATAATTATTTTATACTTTTGAATAGAGTTCCATCATATTTCAACCCTTAAAAAGCAACCCTTGTTAGAGATCAATGTAAAAAAATTACTAATTCTAAAAAAATGTTTTATCCTTGGATCGATTTGGATAAAAATTTGGATTTAAGCTCAATTCACCCGCTGCTTTATAGTTTATGTCATGTCGATGAACCCTTATTGTTCTTAGGGGTGAAAACTACCCCTAATTGTCAAAAATTATAAAATAACATATTAAACCTGAATATGGTTAAAATTTGGTTTAAATTAATTAAATAATGATAGTTTCGTGCTTTTGAATAAAGTTCCATAATATTTCAACCCTTGAAAAGCGACCCGTATTAGAGATTAATATAAAAAAATTAGTAATGCGAAGAAAATGATTTCACCTTGGAACGATTTGCATAAAAATTTGGAATTAGGCTCAATTCACCCTCTGCTTTATAGTTTATGTCATGCCGATGAACCCTTATTGTTCTTAGGGCTGAAAACTACCCCTAATTTTCAAAAATTGTAAAATAATATTACAAATCTTAAGATGAGTGAAATTTGGTTTGGATTAGTTAAATAGTGATTGTTATATACTTTAAAATACAAATTCATACATTTTCAACCCTTAAAAATCAATTGTTATGAGTGCTATAGGTGAAAACAATTTTTTGCCAAAATTTTGCAACTTTTCAACTTTTGAAAATCACCCTTTACAACATTGCAGTTTTTATAAACTAATTTATAAGATATAAATTAAAACAAGTAGGATTAAATACAAAAAAAAATATCAACATAAAAAGGCACCATAATTATATTCTTATACATTTACATAAATAGTTGAAAATATTTACATTTATTGGTAAAACAATTATAATATTGATTTTATTCGTCATCAATTACATCTTCATCGTGATCTATGTCATCCTCATCTTCTTCAATTATTGGTGGACTGTTATTGCACCCTTCACCTGAGCACCCAGAACAAGTAGAGTTACAGTATAAACCAACTTTTCTGCACCCACATGAAACGCCGCATCCTTTTTTGCATTGGCAAAAAATAATTTTCAAAAGTTCATCGGGTGCAGGTTGTTTGTTCATGCGTACGGGTAATAACAAACCATCTTTGGAATACCATCCCCAATCTGTTACTCTGATATTTTCATTGCCAAGCCATAGACATATGAGCAGATGTTTTATTCTGTTGTATGGGATTTCAAAATAAGAACGCTTAAAATTTCGAATGTATAACGCCCCACTAGCTAATATACCGGTTTTGTAGATTATTATGCTCCGAAATGTACTGTACTATACTAATGGAATTTTCCGGAAAAAAATTAACGAGTTTTTTTAACGTATTTCCTTTAATTTTTAACGATAGAGTGTTTCTTCATAAACGATTTGTAGAGGTTTTTAAGAGCTACAAGGATCTGTGAATTAAATCTTTTTGGAACCCTTGGTTTTTAAATGGGGTGAGTTTAAAGGGTTCGAAAAAGATGGTGCTTGATCGTAAATCGATGCTTTAAACGGCTATATCTCGCCAAATATTCATTTTACAACAAATCTAAATAAAGGATAATTTTAGTCATTAAAAAAGCTACAATTTGGTAATTTTTATTTTTTTCATATATTAAGTATTTTCGGACATATTTAAAAAAAGAAGGGTAAAAAATATGAAATTGTAAATCGTTTCTCGCTTTAAGCTGTACTTTTTCTAAAACTAAGCATTTTAAATGGGTCACACTTCTTGGACGTATTAACAATACATGTACAAAGGGAATTGCAGAAGGGTGAAGATCGATTTTAATTATGGGGTGGTTGTTTTCATCGATTTTTTCGTAAAAAATGAGGTATTGACCTTATTTTTATCATAACTCACTCAATTTTTGAGCTAGAGTCTTTTTTTATGATAGTTCTATTTATGCTCTTTAAAAAAGGTTTTGTGAGTTTTCTTCCAAAATGAATCTTTCAAATTTGGCATTTGAAGAAAACCGCTGAGCATTAATAGGCCGTATTTCGGTTCCTATTATATCGCAAAAACATTTTAAAAAAGTGAATTGTATTTATCTTTTAAAAAGCTACAAATTTGTTCTCTACAATTTTTTTGATAAAATGCACTATTTTCGAGTTATTCGCGAAAAATCGATTAAAAACGTGGATTTTTTCGTCTAAAAGTTACTTTCAATCGCGAATAACTTGAAAAATATCATTTTATAAAAAAAATGTATAGCACATTTTTTGTCTAGAATCACTTTTTTAATCGAAACCTGTAGTTAAAACGTAAAAAAAAATTTCACCCCGGAAATGGGGTGGCAACCACCCCTAGGCTTTGGCGCACTTTGGTTCGATATAGATTTTGATCCTTAGGCTATTACCTACCTTCTGTTAAATTTCAAGTCAACCCACGCGGCACGAAAAAATTGCGAGGTGAAATGCTTCATTTCCTGGACTATAACTGGTTTGACAGCATAATAAAATCGTAGATTTATGTGTAGCTTTCAATTTTTATGAGTTCAGAATCCAGCACCCCGCTGAAGTATTGGATTTTTATAATATAATTATTTGACAATCTTTTGTTGGCCAATCACCTACAGCAGAATTGAGCCGAAATACATTATATTCCTATGTTCCGAATTTATTTCGTTCAATCTGTATATTGATGTTGTACTCAATAATCGGGATGTAATGGGATAGTGAAGCGCAACATATAGCCACTCCTATTCAAACGTCAACCTTACCTGCTCGTATGATGATCTAGATCATGGTCTTTTGGTATATCCTGCCAAATAACTAACGAGGCTCTGACGTCCAAGTGTTTGCCGTGATAAGCAATCCACCATTTACTGGACAACGGCTCAAATCGGATAAGCTAGTGTTACGATAAATATGTCTCATAAATATTCTTTCTAATTCTGATAGTTTAGGGCTTTATACACTACATAAGCAGGAAAATTTGACCATCAGTAGGAGCAGAAAACATCACTGAGATGGAGCTTTTAGTCGAATTCATCACCCTTTTTTCTCGTCTAGCTATTATTTTACTTCTGCCCGGATCATCAGATAAGTTACTTTCGTCATAATTGATTATATTTGATAGAGGAATGTTAACCAGTTTTACTCCAAGTCTGTCAAAGTATTCATTAATTGTTTCCGGAGAGATGGCTGCTCTGGCTCGTTTTATGTTTTGGCATAATCGGAAGGACAATCTAGCCTGGTGCGTTTTCAATAAAGAGGAGATAAACTTCCGATGGTTTATGGTTTATGGTCTTGCCTAGGCGGTCAAGCGAATCTGTAATGAAAAGTCTCAGAGTAAACGACTCAATGGTATGGCTCCATGGTATGGCTACCATACCAAATATGGTATGGTATGGCTGCAAATAATTGGGCGACTCACCACAGTTTTTTCCTCCACTTCAGTCAAAGCGGTTTATACGCTCCTCTATTTTAGCTAATCACCCTTTCTGAAATGTCTATAAAGGACACTATAGTTAATGCCATATTTACTCTCTGCTTTCTTGAGGCTGAGACCATTGGATATCTCTGCTACGGCTTTCTAAAGAACCTCTGGATCTTGTATTTTCTTCGATTTCACAGGTTTATAATTTCTCGGCATGCTGAAACTAAACAAGTATATTAGATATTTTGTACAATAGGTATCCTAAACATTATTATCATGTTTCATTCCTATTTGCCTCTAATAAAACCAAAAGAAACGGACTTTGGATTTGTGGGGCGAAGAGAAACAGCTGTCTACTGTATTTCTATTCACCCCACACATACTAAATGTGTCCCATAACCTCAAATAACATTCTAAAAATAGAAAAGTGTTATTTATACATACTTAAAGTATGTTATCCTTTTTATAGGTATACAACACTAATGAAATAGTACAAATCAAGAACATAACATGATAGGATATAATACT